CTGCACATAACCACCTCCCCGGCAGCACCCACAACACGGGGGGAATTCCAAAAGACACGTACCGACCTGATGCTGTGGCTGCTGGTGGCTTTAGGAAGGTGGAAGAGATGCAGCTCTGCTGCCTCTCAGCCCTGTACAAGGGTGAGGACAAGGCCAGGACAATATGCTGCAGGAACTGGGAGGCTGTGGGAAGGTCTCACCACGCTCTGGTGCTACTAATACAGCATTATGAGGAATCCCCACATGGGTGATTAACTTTCAAATTGTGATGCCGTGCCCATGCATGCCGGTATCTGGGAAAAATACAGCAAGGCCAACTCATTAAAATACTAACCTGGAGTTTCTCTACATGTCTTTGGTATTTTACCCCCTCTTCTTTTTCTTATTTTTTTTCTCCTCCTTTTCATTTCCTTCCTTGCCCTTCATTTTCCCTCTTTATTATTTATAAAATTCCCTTTTATCATTTTCTTCCCATCTAGCTTCTTTCGCTTCTCCTTTTCTCTTAACCCCTCTGTGCCCCATATTGCATTTCCCCTTCTGTTAATCAGTCCTTGCCCAGATCCTGACTCGTCAGGGGAACCTTCATTCAAGGACTTTAAGGCTGATTTTACAGTTTTTTTTCTCTTGTTCTCCTCTTATCTGCTTCGCCGGGGTAGGGACTGTTAGTCTGACTGGCGGAGGGCTCCTGTTGTGGCTGCCGATGATGGTGGAAAAACAAACTTGCTGAAGGTCCCTGAAGAGACTTTACCAAGGGTCAGCTGAATATTTGGAGTGTTTCACACACAGATTAAGCACTTCACAAAAAAGGTATTTCAATGTAGTCGCTATGTAATGTCTCTGTATAAGGTGGGAATGATGGTGCAGAGGGAGAATACATTCTGAATGGATCGTCACAAAAATACTCATTTAACCGAGGGGAGGAAAGTACTGCCATCTCATTCATGGGTATTAGAATAGTGTGTTCCTAGAGTTGTTGGTTTGGTTTTTCAGCTATGATAGGCCAGCTGTTACGTCGTTTGCCGGCACTCGTTACTGCAAGACTTAGGCTAATCTTGTTTCTGAAGAAGCCCAGCTCATCTTGGCAGCTCCAGACTCCTGTCTCTGGCTGGCGGCAGGGAGGGCTCGACGGCACCGGGACGCATCTCTGAGCCAGCCCCGTTTCTTCTCGTCTCCCGCTGGCTCTTCCATGGCTTGACCCACGGGCACGGGGCTGCGGAGGGGCCGGAGGAGCCTTGGCAGGGCCGCTCTCAGCCCACCAGGCTGAGCTTGGCAAGAGCACAGCCCCGGGGCAGCCCGGTCCTGCCGCTGCCTCCACAGCTGCAAGTGCTCAGGGGCAGAGAGAAAGAATAGGTATTTTGGTAAATCAGGAGTTCCTCATGACATCTGGGAGCTCTCTGATGACACGTCCTTCTAGAAGACTCTTCTTGTCAAAAGCAAGCTTGTCACCAGTTCAGTTTATTCTCTCCTCTTAGGTTGAAGCACACAGCAGCTGAGTTAAATTGACATCATTGGGTACTACCCAAAGAATGAAATTATTTAGAATTAGAAAGCCTATTCTCCTCCCAAACAATTACTTTTTAAATTCAAAGATACATTTAACACAGCAGAATCTGCCAGGCTGCAGCCAGAGGATGAGCTCCCACTCTGAATGCGGGAGCCAGAGCCCCCTCCGCCAGCTGCTGGGGGTACCCCCTGGGGAGGGATGCTGTGGGGTGTCAGGGCTCCCTGAAACATGGGGCACAGCCTGCACGAGGCTCCCATCCCACATGAACAGTCAGAGGCTTCACGGTGTTCAGGAAGTTAATAATCACTTATGAAGGCAGAAGTTTTTAATGGCTTTTAAACTCTAATTTAATTTCACTTTCAATCAAATTGTGTCAAATTTAGCTTAAGATTAGGTGACAGGCAGTCAGGCTGAACTGCTGCTCTGTACCTCTTCATTTTGCCTTCCTGCCAGCCCCGGATAAATAGATTTACTTTTTTTAATTTGCATAAAGGTAGGAGTGAGCGTGCTGAAAAGAAAATATCTGCATTCCCCAAAGCTTTTGTTATGCAAGTAAGCAAACAGCACCATTGTCAAATGCCATTGTGTGACATTTGCAGCACTAAATATCCAATTTTGTGTTGGGCAGAAAATATTTTTTTTTCCTGATGCATATCTTGATTTCCAAGTTATTTTCTGGCTTTCCCTGTGACTAGGGAAATGATGTTGGGGGTGATACAGAAACCTGAAAGTCTTTGAGATTCAGACTGGCATGTATAAATCTTATGTTTGAACCTGAGTCAATCCCCAGGAAAAATTTTCCGCCAGGCTAGACTGGTGGGCATCCCTATTTGCTTTTTGCTTTTGATTTTTTTTTCTTGATTCTGCAATGTGGGTCGTAACCAGCTTCCTAGGATTATCTGAACGTTTTTATTTAGTAAACTTAGTGGTCGTGCCCTCAAACATCTCTCTGCTCTCTTCCTCTGGCACACTGTATTTTATACGCTTTTCAGTCTGTTGTACTAAAAGCATTAAATGGAGTGTTGACAAAGATTTTGTGGTTTATGGCTTGGTAAGCATAGAAGATGGACGTTCATGGGACTGCTCTAGGCAGAAATGTCCATAGTATGACTGCTGGTGGTTGCTGGGGACCAACCTGGCTGGTCTTCCCCACAAAGGGTTACTTTCTTGTCAGAACCTCATAGAAAATTTATTTTAATAGTGCTTTGAAGAGTTGGATTTTTAAATTTCAGAGAGTTCAGACCATTGCCCCCACTCTTGGAGCTACTGTTTTAAAACAAACAATGCTACGTCTTTCTTAATTCTAGGTGGGATTTATTTATAGCACCTGCTACACCTTTTTTGCTCCTGTTGCAGAGGAGAGACTTTTACACACAACTCGTGATGGTTTTTTTGCATTTAAACATTTTTTTGCCTCAGTATGAAAGGATGTCTTACGATGTGGTTTCTCTTGCCCAATGCTTTCATATGCACCTTCTTTCTTTTCCTGGTAATTATGAGTCTCAAGCTGATAGCAACTTCCAGGCTGTCCCTCCGCCTAAGTAAGCTCTTTCTGAGTGTAAGCCTGGACTTAAACAGAAACAGCTCTGTTCTCTTCACTCCTGTGATCTTACATCAATTCACCAGCTATTATTTCCTCCTGTCAAATGAAGCAATAGCAAAGCTTTGAAATGATGTTGCGGCTTTTCCAAAGAACAATTTCCCTCTCCTTCTCCAGCCTCCTTCTGCCTTTCCCTGTATATTTGATAGTACATCAGCTTCCTCTTGAAATGATCCCCAGTAGAGCACTTCAGCTATTTCAGCCAGGGTTTTTCTGAAAGTATTTTTTAAAAACTAGCTTCTACAGCAGAGTTTGGTTATAATGAAGAACAATTAAAAAAAAAAACAACAATCCTTCTGCCTTGGAGAGCCAGTCTTGTAGGCACTAATGCATGTGGTGAACTCTGTGCCTGGAATATCCCCACTGGATTCAGGCAGTGGTATTGTTTGCACACACAGAGTTAAGCACCTGTGTAAGTGCTTGCAAGGTGATGGCTTTAAATCTCAGTAGAAGCTAAAAAGATATCCATTGAAGTGCAGGAGAGACTGAACCAAGGCAGCTCACATTCATCGTCTTTTTTTTTTTTTTTTTTTCCGTTATCTGTGTTTCTAAAGTGGCTGTGATTTAGCAATACATATAATGAAGAGAACAGCGCTGATCTTCCAAAGAATTTCTTCACCCCACTCCAATCCTTGTCATCACTTTGATCTAGGCAGGATATTTAGGAAACTTGCAGTCTGGGCAATTTCCCAGTGATGCTGAGTGAAGACCTGATATGACAGAAGACACCAAGGGCTACAGGATTTAATTCTAACACAGTTTTTCAGATTAAAAAATGACATAACCAAAACCCCTCCCGAGTTAATTTCTTGATTTTACTGCAGGATCGAATTTGGGCTTAGTCTGCTCCAGTGTTTCTCTTTGATGTAATTGCCTAGGAAATCGAGAACAATAGTCTTTTGAGTTGACAGGATTTTAAATGCTTATGGGTTTGAAAATAAGGACCAGATAAGGACTGTATCAGAAGTCAGATGAATGGCCAGCCTGCAGTGCAGAGATCTTGGGTGAAGGGCTGTCATCGATACCTTTGCCTCAGAGGAGAAGTTATTCTGCGTGGAGTTGTTTGCAGCATGCAAGTGGAGCCGGAGCAGCCTGTCTTGGTGGCCCAAATCTTCAATAAATCAATGGAAATCCTGGCATGGGAAGCATATGTTCAATGAAGTTCACAGTGTTTACAGCCTATCTGTACAAAGCTTCATGGTGAACTGAACAATGACTTGGGATGCAACAGGCTATTCACAATTTCACAGGGTTTTCCTGGGGGCATTGCTAATACCAGTGCACCATGCCAATCCAGAACTGCTGAAAAAAAAAAAGGATGCTTGGAAAGCTGGAAAGATTTTTGTTCACCGTGACACACGGCGTCAGTGAATTGCGCAATGGGAAGTCTGTAAGCATGGATCTTTCTGGGTGCTGAACGAAGCGGAGGAGAAATGACACCTCTCGGAGCTTTTGTTACAGACTCTGAGTATCTTTTGGTATTCATCATCATTTTCAGCTACTGTTTTTTAAGATGTGTCTGTAAACAAAGGACTTCTTAGAAAATATCTTTTTCAAAAGTAGACTGAAAAAGGGTGGAAGACTACGAAGCAAAAATTAATAGCTTCCAAAGTATAATATAAGCAGGTTAATAATGATAGGTCATAACATTCCTTTCAGATTTATACAAGAAAACAATACATTGTACAAAATCATGGAATAGATCTTTCTTCCTCTAAAAGCCTCAGCAATTTCTTTTTAACAGCAACATAGTATTTGGAAATGCTATTTCCTAAATAAACAGCCTCATACTGCTTAACTTAAGGAAATCTACTTTGGTGACAGGAGTTTCAGCATTTGTTTTTCTCCCTTCCCTTTCTCTAGGACAGTTGCACTACCTTCAATGAGTTATCCTAGCCTTGATTGTGACGGAGAAGGACATAAGTCAACCCAAAAGGGACCACGTTCACAGTGTATATGAGAAAATTGCTCCTTTCTTCAATGATGCACGCTACAAGGCACAGCCAAAGGTGCAGCAGTTCATTTCAGAGCAGGAACCAGGCAACCTGATTGCTGATATTGGTGAGTGAGGTTGTTTACCACATTGCTAATGACAGTCTAAGTATGTCCTCCCTATCAAGCAATACTTGTGGCAGAAGACTTTGGAGCTTGTGAATCAAGCTCTGGAATCGAAATGGCTAGACTATCAGATTTGCCTCCTACTTTGCTCCACCGTTCATAAGTATATGAAGACAATTTGACTTTGGCCAGTATCTGGGAGGTCAACTAAACCAAAGCACTAACCTGAAGCTAAATTTATTAAGATGTCATTAATGGATGTTAATGTTGTGTATTGGTATGATAATTTTGGAATTTGAAATCTTGTTTAGCTCTTACAACATGTATTGTGTGTGGCCAGTTTGAAGCAAGTATCGTGACACTGTCCTGAGTGCTTTGCGGAACAATGTGTGACACTGAATTAAAAATAAGTTTTTGATTCGCCAAAGGTTTGAGAATGTCTAAATAGTACGAGGGAAGCCTCAGTACTGGCTTCAGCATCTGCACCAGGAGTGGATACGTGCTGGTTGCCCAGATGAGATCTGGGCAATGAGAATTTATCATTTTTACATGTTTAGGCTAGACTTCTAAACAGTTTTTTGGACCTGTAATCCTTTCCAGCCACACATATGTGTAGTCTCCCCACTATAGCATGGAAATGTTTGTGAAAGAGAAAAATAACTGAGTGTTGGGCTAATCACGTTAACTTTTTGGGTGTCATTCCAACTTTACCATATACTTTTCCTAGTTTATCACAGTCTAAATGCTGGGAATTATATTCCTACCAGATACTGGCAGATTTTGCAATGTGTTCAATGTGAACAAATAAAATGCATACAAAGAACCATTACATTGAATTTTTACTGATGTCATAGACTTTGAACTTTGTTAACGCTGGAATTTAAGCTCAGGCTTGGCTCCTGGGCTTTGGTCTGCAGAGGCTGCTGGCATGTTGTTGTGGTGTCCGTGGCCAGAGATGAGTTTCGTATGAAACACGATTGCCAGGAGAGGTGCCACGGCGCTGGAGAGGAGTCTCCCTGCAGGGCTCTCCTCTGCCCCTCCATCCCTGGGAAGTAGCCTAAAATGTATTTAGTAGCTGTCGTTTGGCTTATACCGAAGCCTTTCCCTCCAAAAGTGAAAACCAGAAAAAGTCCTGGAGTTGTCTACCAGTCAGAGCTCCAGGGTAGTCCTCTTTCTGCTCTTTCTCCTTGGAAAACAGAGTCTAATATTTGCCAAGTGCTGGTACCGTTTCACAGCAGCTCTTCTCATCTAGTACTGAAGTCAGCCATAAGAAGGATCGAGAGAGCTCCAGCTTTTCTCTGGATATCTTTCATTCATTCCTGGCAGATGGGATCGGCAGTTAATATTACACAAGGAGTTAGGAGCAGACTTCTACCTGCAGCTCAGCAATGGTTGCTCTCCCATTCAAATGCCATAACAGATTGATGGGGCTGGGAGGCTCCTTGCTGAACACAGAGACCCACACAGGGTTTCAGAATAGATGCTATGGGATAGCTGTAACCTAAATATAGAGACTTAAATATTTGGGAGGCTCCAAAATAACTATGATTTTTTAAAAAAATGAGAGATAAAATCTGGGCTCTGACCCAAGCTTAATGTTTGATGTAAGCATAGCCATAAACAGGACGTAACGAAGGTCTGCACAAGGTACAGGGTATTATGCTAGCCCGATGCATTTACCTCCCTGATCTCAATCTGAACTATGAATTTTATGATACAAGTGAGAAGGCAAGTTTTTAAAATTAATAATCTACTTTAAAATGCACTTTTGTTAAGATCCAGATAATTCTGCAAATAAATTATCAAAAGTTTAGATAAGATCCATTTTACTGCTGACATTAAAATTGTTCTTATCTGAAGATGTCTGCCTTTATTTCAACACAAGAAGTATTTCAGTTCAGGAAGATGTAAATTTCTGTGTCACAGGCTCCATTATGAGAAGGAAACTGCGTGGAGAAATCAGAAAAAGAAACCGCGCTGTTGTCATGGTGACAGCAATTAGCAGCAGTTAAAACAGCAAACAATGGATTTAATGGTTTGGTCTAATAGTGACTTAATTACTTAGCAGTCTAGTTTGTCTATCAGCATTTCAATACACAGGAATAATTCAGTGTTGTGCTCCCACTACATGATGCTTTCACTTATCATTTTGAGTCTATTATAAGCAGAACTGCAGTAGCATCATTACTATAAATATTTTCGATTCTGTATGTGGTGGGAAGGCCAAGGTAAATGCTCTCTAGCAATCCCACTTGAACACCTCCTGTCACGCAGCAGAGAGCCTGCTAGACAGAAAGGAGCAGTCTGTGCTCATTGTACTGTGATGGTAAAAAATAACCTGAATTCCCCTGCAATTGTATTTCCTTGAAAATGGGTGGAGAATGTCAAGCTATCAGGCCAGTCAAGGGCGTACATCATGGCTTATGTCAGGAATACATTTTCTTTTGTACAGACACCAAATGTCCGCCTTTCTTTCTCCTCCTTATTATTTCTTCAGGCTGCAGAAATGGCAAATACCTTCACATCAGTTCTCGAGTCCATAAACTGGGTTGCGACTACTGTTTCCCGTTGGTGGATTTAGGCCATGAAGCAATGGTCTGCCATAGCTTGTGTCTGCCTTATCGAAGTCAATGCTTCCACGCTGTCCTGTCCATCGATGGTAAGTTCTGTGTGCTGCCAGTGTCTATAGGCCAGACCTTTAAAGAGTCTAAACCACTTAGGCTGGTATCGCAGTCTCTTCTAGGTTTGGGTTTTTTCAGTGAACGAGAGAATATTTGGGGTTTTGCAGTCCAGGTAGATCTATATTAGCACAAGAAATTTATATTATTGCAAATTCAGTGAAAAACTGTAAAATGGGTATGTCACACAGATGCGAGCTGAGTTTTATTCTAGTCCAAGCACAATTAAACTGCAATGCGCAAAACAGGAGGGGAGAGCCTTGTTTGTGCCTTATTACCTGGCAGAAATTTGAAATGTTGGCTCTGTCAGGAAGAAGATATAGCAAAACTTGCTTAGGAACACTGAGCATATTCAAAGTTCGGTATGTAATCCTTTCGCACCTTTCCAAACACTTTTTTACTCCCATGCTCCATGGTTTGTCAGCCAACACAATCATTGTTGTGTTTATGAAGAAGGATGACCATGACACTGATCCAGCTGGAAGGTAACCCAGCAAACAGAAAGGTTGCTTTTAGCCAAATAAGTTACTCGTTGCTTCACTGCAGAGAGACCTCTTTCAGCAAAAGCAGGGGATAATGCAGAGAAAGAACAAGGAGCCGATGGCAAGGGAAGCAGAAGTGCTTGTTTCAGTAGCACTGACGCCTTAAAATGTTCATTGAATAACCTCAGATTTCATTTCTTGTAACATTTTTCCTTTTTGTTTAGTTGCCCTTTTCAACCCAACTTAAGGATGGAGGAACTACCTGGTTTTGCCCCTTTTAAAGCAGATGTTGAATGGTAGCTTTAGCCTTTGCCTTTTTCTCTTTTAAATTTTTAGGGTTCTTTTATTTTGAGAGTCTGGAAATTACTCAATCACCTTTTAAAAGTTAGATATTACGCTTATACTGATTAAAAGTTGAACAATACTGAAAATAAAACAAATTACAGTGCTCAGCAAACTTGACTTTCCTTTTCTCAACCAAAGGAGTATGAACGTCTTTAAGCCTTGTTAAATCAAAGAGAAATGTTAATACCTCACATCTCTTGAAGTTAGTGAGTAGCCTGACACAACCTCTTCTCCATGTCTCAGGTGACCTTTCTGTAAGCCCTGAAGGACTTTACTTTTCAAGTCCCGGTCCATTTGACATTTGATGGAAATTTGAGATTGCATTACTGTCACTGGTACAACATTGTACGGGGCTGTGAACCGTGCTCAGCTACCCCATCTGAAAATCTTTCAGTCATGATTTAAGAAACGTGACCAATAGCTCACCGTCCTTATTATTGGGTTTTCATATCCTTACCCAGACGGAGTAACAACCATCGTGTGCCCAAAGGTGATTTGGCATTCTCTCAAAATCCAGAGTAAGGAAGTGAAGGACAAGCCAGATTTGTTGAAAAGGGTATGTAGTAACATTCAGAAGTTGTCCGACTCAAAAGACTCTGTGCCCTGGGAGTACTTGTGATCAGTCCACAGAAAAGCAAAGTAACTGGGCTGGGGTTGCTGCTGGAGATGCAGAACTACAGACCTTCCCATCCACAGCAAGCTGAAAGCCCTGTTTGCATGGCTACCGTGCGAGAAGCTAGAATCGGTGAGGAATCCAGAAGGACCCTTGGGCAACAGGTAGAACTGCGTGGTTAAGGACTGTGGCCCTTTCCGCACTGTAGTACAGCTGCAAATTACAAAGTTATTTGTTACAGACTTTACCATCACAGAGCATGAATGAACCATAGTAATGATCATGTTTCCTTATTATTGCTGAAAAATATGATTCAGATGCATTATAAAGCTTCAAATAATATGTTGAATTATTACATATGCTAGTATATAGTGTGATACTACTATAGTACATATATACTGTACTTTGGATAAGTATGTGTTCTCTTAATCTTCAGGAGACTGTGAAAGGAGGTGTCCTGATTTCATCTGGGATAGAATTAATTTTCTTCCCAGTAGCTAGTACAGTGCTGTGGTTTTGGATTTAGTATGAGAACAATGTTGATGCCACACTGATGTTCTAGTTGTTGTTAAGTAGTGCCTACCCTTAGTCAAGGACTTTTCAGTTTCCCATGATTTGCCAGCAAGGAAGGGCACAAGGAGCTGGGAGGGAGCACGGCCAGGACAGCTGACCCCAACCAGCCAAAGGAATATCCCATACCATAGAGCGTCATGGCCAGTATAGAAACTGGGGGAGTCAGCTGGGAGGGGCCGATCGCTGCTCGGGGTCGGGCTGGGCATCAGTCAGCGGGTGGTAAGCAATTGCAATGTGCATCACTTGCCTTTTTCTTGCATTTTATTCCTCTCTCTCTTTGTTATCTACCTTTTCATTACAATCATTATTATTATTATCTCAGCCCATGGGTTTTACCTTTTTCTAAGTCTCCTCCCCATCCCACCGGGGAGGGGGGAGGAGTGAGCGAGTGGCTCCGTGGTACTTAGCTGCTGGCTGGGGTTAAACCACAACAGGAGGAAGACATTTCTGTAGGTCTTCTAAAGCCAAGTCTACAGTGGGAAATACTGACAGAAGAGGAGCATCAAGCCTAACTTGATGATTTTTCTTGTACTCAACACCTATTGTGCATGCATATATAATGAAGTATTTTTGCCAGTTCAGTAAATGGAATAACCTATACTGACAAGAAACAAATCTAGACATGATATAACAGTAAAAGTTTAAAATGTGATGCTTTCAAATGCTTAACTTTCCACTCAAGGAGACAAATTTGCCCTGTGAGTATGCAATTCATTTCACAATGTTTTTCTGCCTTAAGAAAGAAATCATACTCACTTTCCCAGTGTATTCATAGCATAATTTTATTTGAGATTTAATATCATCGAACAACCTTTGCCATATACTGATGGCTTTGTTATTGTTAGCACGATGAAGCCATTCCTGTGTTATTGAAATAAGTAGGATTTGTGCCACTTGCAGTAATGGAAAGGGGACTGACACTCATGTTTCCACTTTGGCTCAGGAATTGTTCTGAATCATAATGCAGGACTGATTTTTTAGCATGGCTTTACCTCTGTCAAGGTGGTTCTCTCCTTTATATAGAGAGGTGCTAATAAAATCTTGTACGTGCTGAGCTCTTGGACTCTGAGATGGGCAAGGGATAAGAAGCAGCTTTTTCTATTAATTTAGATAAGTAATTTCTTTCCTCCAAAGGTGAAGACATCACATTTTCCTCTCCTATTAGGAGTCAGATACTCAAGTCAGTAAAGTTATTTTCTATTACTGAAATATCTGATCAGACTTTTCATCCCAGCGGGAGAAAAAAGTTCCTGGAGTGAAGAGCATCAAATGGCTTTCCTTGGTGTTAATACCAATATGTGAAAATTAACTTCGCTTTAATCTGTGATCTTTTAGGCATGTGGTAATTCAGCAGAAGAAGTGAGGGGAACCTAAGGGATGTAAACCTGTCTAGTCCTCTAATTTACACTGTCTGAGAAAATGGTCTGCATAATTGCAAACAGTGTAATTCTTAAAGTTTACAAGGTGGAAGAGTCTCTTGGTGAAAAGGCCAAATAAAAGGTCCAGGAGAGTTTCCTTACTGTATAAGGTTCTGTCTTTATGGTAAAATTCAGTGAAACACTGAGCAAGAAGAAACCAAGTGTCAGTATCAGATCATATCGGTGTAGCTACATTGCAACTGTCGTGCCAATTAATATGGGCACGATATTGCAATGCCATCACGACATACTTTCTTTACCCATAAAGAAACCTCCTATTTCTGTGCAGCCTTGGTTATTTCTGCCTGAGTTTTGTCAGATAGGTATGTTGGCACTACCTGCCAATTCTCCTAAATTCTGTTTTTCCTAAGGATCAATCAGGATTACATCCTAACATTTTTTTAACTTTTTTCAACAAAAAGGCACAGTGTTCAGAAAATTACATTCCCTAAGAAAAGCAATGTTAACAACAACAATCTGTCCCAGTGGAAAGCAGAGTATAACAAGATCCAGCATGACAGCATCAGGAAAGGTTTAGTGCCACAGAAAGGGAAAAGAAATTGTCAAAAAACGTGATTATCAATAATTACAAGGGATGGTGTGACAAACCAAAGTCAGGATGACTGCAGCGTAACATTAATTGGAACTGGTATAAGGTTTTACAAATGTATACAAAGCAAGAGGAAAACAAAAAGGAAAGAAAAGCAAATAACAGATGACAGAGGAAGTTGCATTTTTTCTTTGGTCTTGACAAAAAGTTAATAGTAGTCATCAACAAGTTAGTAGAGTTTTAGCCAGGGGACAGGAGTTTAGACTATAAAAAGGAAATAGCATCTTAAAGAATATTTAGATAAATTAGGTTACACAAATTGTTAGGAAATCATGACATTAATCTTAAACCACTGTGAACTAGCAGATTAACTTTAAGATCTCCAGCAAGTGAAGAAAAGCAAACATAATACTTGTTTCCAAAAGAGAGAAAGCATATTAAGAGGAAGCCAGTCTAACTTAGATTTATGCAAGGATACTAGAATAAATCATTTAAACAATCTCATTTAAATAGAATAAATTATTTAAACCTACAGAATACTAATGTAATGGGAAACAGCCAACATGTATTTGTCAGGAGCAAGCCAATCTGCTTTCTGTCTTTGACAGGGTAATCATCCCAATAGACAGGGCAGCAGGAGAAGACATGATATATCTTGACTTTCATGTCATTGTTGCAAGTAAAATAAGTAAACAAAGCTAAGAATAGGCAAAAAAAAAATTCTCAAAATGGATCAGTGGCTCACTGTCCAACCAGGACACATTTCAAAAGAGATGCTCTTGGGACTCACCTTACATCTGTTTCTATGCAAAATTTTAATTAATAACTTTAATGACAGGCTAGAGAGCATATTGAACAATTTGTGAACGGCTCCTATGTAGGAAGAGTTGGAATTATTTTGGAAGGTGGGATTTGACATCCAAGTGATGGAGAGTTGTCTGAAATCAACAAGAAAACATACAGAAACTGTCGAGAGGGACGTTCCATGCTCAGGATGGAA